CAAGTGCGGGGTAAAAAAACGAAAAAAAAGAGGGGGTATATTGACATACATGATATCTACCTAAATCTTGAGGTCCGTCCCCTTAGGGTTAAAACGGGAAGGCTTAATAAGGCCGGATCATCCCATCGACCTAAGATTATGGACACAATGCCCAAGTTTGTCCTTCAAATCTAGAATCTCCCAATCTTGGTCGTCGATTCTAAGAAGATACTCCTCAGCAGCTGCTCGCTCCCTGGCTTCGTCCTCCGGATTGAGGTCGTCGAGAATGGGCAAGGAAATCTCGTTGTCCACCAGTATATTCTGTAGAACGGCAGCTTGCTTCGAATAGAACTCCACCTCCTTGGTCCTCTTCTTCAAAAGGTCGATGGCGGCAATAAAACGTTCGGTGCGAATCTTTATTTGCGACTCGACCAAGGCAAGCGTGTCGAGCTTTTCGAGGAACCACGGAGATATAACGATCTTCTCGCGCCTCCTCAGTTGAGAGTTTTCCGACTTCAGTTTTTCCATCTCCTCGTAAACGTTAGCTTCGAGGGATAAGGAGGCATGGAAGTCCAAGTCGTACTGGTGAAGTCGGCGCTTCCACTCTTCCTCTTGCTGCCTAAAGCGCTGTACCAAGCGGGAGTGCGCCTGTAGGTTAAGTGCGTTAAAAGCATCAGAAAGTTCTTTCTCGAGGGACTTCACTTTATCGGTATTATGGACGTCCCCAAATTTCCTCAGAATCGAAGAAATCATCGCATACAGGAGAAACCGGGCAACCTCATCTTCTTCAAGAATCAATAGATGTAAATGATGAACAAAGTACGAATCCTGGCATAAGGGACAGAAATATGTCAAATATTACAGATAAGCCGATTCAATTAGGAAAAAGGTTCAAGAATTCCTACAAAGTTTCTAAGGTCTACAACCTTAGCAACAAAAACCCTATTACAAAGAGAAGGTTCATACTTCCTTCTAACTCGGCAGCTGGCTTGGCTGACTCTCGTTGGTTTCCTCGACGGGCGGAGGAGCCGACGTTCCTTCCCCCATCGGCTCCTGATTGTTCGGATCATCTTCCTCGACCTGCTCCGAGGAATCTTCTTCCCATTCCACCTCGACGCCGATAAATTCTGGGGCCAACTCCGGAACGCGAACCTCCTCCCCAGCATCGTCAGGAAGCACCAAGAAAGCGTCACCCTCGAAGGAGGCTATCTCTGTCGAGGACCTCATTTGAGAAACAGTGCTGCACAGTGGTCCAAACAGAGGGAGTTGGCCGTCACAAAGCTGCTGCAACCCTTTCTTAAGGGCTTCATGGAACGTCTTCTTAGGATGTGGCCTTATAAATTGTTGAAGCCACCCAGCGTTGATGGTTCTCCCGCTCTCCATCCTCTCGAGGGCAGCCACCGCTACACCGTGTCCTCCTAGCGCCTTGGCATCATTGCTGATGCCCACCAGGATGCTCGCCAGTCCACCCGTGGGCACCATTCTCGCCCAAAAAGCAGAAATCCAGGCCTGTAAATCTGATATGGGAACGTGAGTTTCCCTGTATTCTGACAGCTTGGCCTCGACCTCTTTATACATGGCCTGTACATTGGCCAGCTCCTGTTCCCTAGCCAGCCTCAGAGACTGTTCCTCATTCCTGGACGCCTCACTCGACTGCCTCTCCTATTCAAGGAACCCCTTTTCGGCCTGCAAGCTAACAATCTCCCGCCTTCAGCGTCTTCTCTCGCATGAGGATGCTAGCGATGACAGTAGTCAACTGCAACAAATACATAACGTCAGGGTGGGCATCATAAAGCCTACGGGGAAAACATAATTTGCGATGAGAAAAACGTTACCATTTTCAGCGACTCCTCTTCCGTTAAGGTCGCCGCTACTTCCTCGATGATGGGGCACTCGATCCTGTTGTCCCCAAAATGATATAGCAGCGGCAACAGTGTATGTCGACGACCCGTCGGTGTCCTCAACATTGTTTTTCTTCTCTAGGGAGGCCTCAAGGGGCCTGAACCACTCGGGATGCCACTCGCTCACTGGCACAGCCTCGGGCATTGGGCCTTCGGGCATCGGGACATCTGCCTCTTCGATAGTAGGAGGGACAGTCTTTGGTGGACCAGCAACGTCATCTTCTTTCCCCTCCATCTCGACCGGGACTTGCCCCTCGATCGGCTTTTCTATTCCCTTGAGAGTGGGAGTCTTCTTCTTCTTGGCCTTGGCACCCGCATCGGACGCCTTTACAAGACTTCTCAGCTTCCTCTTCTTAGTAACCTTGTTGGACGACCCCTCATCATCTGAATTTTTAATTTCAAAAATCTGGGCATCACCAAATAATCCAACGGTATCTTTGCTCAATGACATGACCTAAAACAAAAACAATGCACATAACAAGTTAGTACCTTTTTTCTTCTCGATGTGAACAACCGGAGGAATGTATTGTTGCACTTCTGTGTAGCCGAGGATGTTCTCGACAGATTCCAAAGCGTCAATGTCAGCCCTATACCTCTTGATTCTGGCCTTATCGTGCTTGGACCAGGCATCTGTCACCCCGCCCATTTCATGAGCTTCCCGATAATTCCAAGCCATACAAAAATCCTCAGGAGCCGAAACATACAAATAATTCGGCTTCCACGATGGAGCACCATCGAAGAGTTCTATTATGCGGTTTGCCTTCGAGGAAACGTTCGTCTTAACATTATACCAATCCTTATATTTGGTCGAGGGCACACAGACATTGAAAAAGTATCTCCATACTAACAATCGAAGAGCTATCTTCTTTATTTCGCAGAGTCTCAAGAATCCGAGAACTGCTGTAACTAAATTCAGGGTAACTCGATCAAGTGGGATCTTATAGTACTGCACTATCCTACCAAACAGAGAGTGAAGGGGGAATCTTAGTCCGAGGAACATGGACCTCTCATATACAGTGATTTTCCCCTCTGGTGGAGTATTTGCCCTCTCAGTACCTATGGGGGCTCGATATTCTAGATCTATGGGGAAGTTATATTTTTCGGCGATGGAATCAGCCTTTTCAGCAGAATTTATGGTTGATGCAAAGTCGGAAACTATTTGCGACGCCATATCTATCCTAATATATGCAAATCTAGCAGGGTTCAGATAAAGCAAAATATATACACCAATATATAGTGTTAAGAATACCCGAAGGTTAGAGGACTTACTTATGAGATAACGCTTCCTTGATGGAGACTATTGGACGGATTTTCAGACTCTGCTGATTCTCCTTGACGGCAGTATTCGGTTGACAGAGGAATCTAGTACGCCGGAACAGAGAGTGTGGAACTTTCTAGTTGCAAGTTTGGCAAAAGAAACAAATGGTTAAAGTCTTTAGCCTTTCCCCCGGTTAACAAAGAATAAAAGGAGCTTTCTCTCTCCCACGACCCGACACCATAGCCGAATTTCAAGGCACAATCGTAATTGCCTAGCCGTCATTTGGGAATCGTGCGCGTTAAAGGGGCATAATTTCTGTTTAGGCGGGATTTAAAAGTCGGGTCACCTTCCCGGTTCGGATCCTCGCCCGCAGATAGTCACATTTGGATTGGACCGAGGCTTATTTATTTCATGTGGGCCGATCCAGGTCAGTTTTATTTAATGTCAAGTCTTATTTATTTTGCGTAATTAACACTTGACAGGGACACTTGATGAATCCATATCCATTACCTTCGATGGGCCGGCTCACTACTCGGCTTTAGGGTCAAACCGCCCTGGATATGGCGGTATATTATTACTAACTCTAGTAATAATCGGATGAATTATAAGTAATTCAATTGATTTTATTTAAAACATTCAAGGTTGACGTCTCTCCGAAGTAGATAAATCTCATAAGCAGATACCTTAATTATTTTACATCGATTATAAATAAAGACTAAATAGTCCTATTCCAATATACCGTATGCTGTCTTCAAGTGTTTGATAGGAGGATTGAGTTCCAAATCAAGACGCGCGGCTTGTTCAACCTCAGTGCTCAGTTTCGATTCTGTCCTAACAAATTGTTCTTTTTTTTTTTTTTTTGACAATAACAAATTGTTGTCACTTGCATAGAGTTGAACTTGTCAAAACTCAAAACCCTTAAAGATAAGAGTTAATGGCCTTTTAGATTGAGGTTTTGGCCCAAGTTAGTATCTATTGTCGTGTGAGCAGTCCCGTAGTAGGTTAATTAATAAAGGTGGACATAAAGCAAAAATCGAAGGAAAAGGGTATAAACAAATGATCTTATTTTGTGATTATTCACTTTAGCCCTTTTGTGTTCACTTACACGGTAATTTGGTTTTATATTAATTAAACAAACATATTTTATCATTGAAATTCTATCACATTCAAATACATTGTTATATGATATTCCCTATTCCAAAAAATTAGTAAACATTGAGTTTTCAAATTTGTCTTTATGAGCTATTTTTCTGAGATGGAAAGAATATTATTATAAATTCAAAAAATAAATTATTAAACTAGAATACAAAATACAAGGAGAAGAAGGGAAAGGAAAAAAAACAAAAAACAAAAAACAAAAAAAAGAAAACGTAGAAAACAAGCTCCAAAGCTTTTGGTAGCAGTAGCACCAAAGTGAAAAATAAAATAATATATATATGAGCTGAAGGATATGGTATTTTATTCCAAGTGTTACGGCCAATCAACTTTTGATTATGTTACTTCATCTCATTCAGCAAGTTGCGTGGCAAAAGTATAAACATGTATAGAGATTAAGAAAATATGTGTACGTAGTATAGTTTCGTTTGTTAATCTTAGAGTAGTTTATTGTACACACTCCTAATAATAGGTTACTAGTTAATATAGAAGCTGGAGTTGAAAATAAATAAATGTTCCTGATTTTAGTGATTGTAGTAGTGTATATTTACAAAATTCATAGACGAGATTAAATTTAATATCTGAAATGAGATTAAGTTTTAAAACGTTCTTGAAAAAAAAATACTAAGAATAAAAAGTGTCTCTGTTGAAATGGATTGAAGGAAGCACTCAATATACAAAGAGTTGTGATAACGCCTTCAATGACCGTAAATATTAGTTAATACAACATTGCATTAATATGAAATTGATATGAAATATAGTTGGTTGTACAATGCTTATAAAAATAAAACTGGGCATAATCATTCCAATACTTTATGAAATAAAACACACACTGGTAGTGGTAGTCGGTATATAATGCCATATATAGGTCGCCTTTTTAATTTATCATCAATTACATCAAACAATTAAATACTTAAATTCTTTGCAAATGTTGGCAAGCAGAATGCTGCAGAATGAATCTGAGTGTTGTAGAACTGTAATGGTTGATTGTCGCGATCATCATCTCCATCACTCTGATCAGCTAATGGGTTAATTGGATGTTTAAAGTCAACGGGTACAGGTCCATAAGTTGAACAAAGGATGAAACCAATGACTCCACTTGGGTAAGTAGGAACAGTGGTCCAAGCATAATTAACACATCCGCCCTTGAAGATTTGCTTGCATTTGGTAAAAACGTCTTGGATCATGTGCATGTGAAGCCACATACTTTCAGCCTGCATGCAAACTACTCCTCCAGGGCGAAGAGCTTTGGCAATTGACTCCAAGAAAGCCTCCTCAAACAAAGGTTTGGCCGGACCAATTGGATCCGACGAATCCACTATGATTGCATCGTATGTTCCGTGAGGAACCGCTTTCACGAAAGCGGATCCATCACAAACACGAAGCACGACCCGAGGATCCTCGTACCAAACCGCCACTTCCGAGAAGAACCGTTTCGCCACATCAATCACCATTCCATCGATTTCGCAGATATCTACGCGGTTGACGGAAGGATGACGTGCCACCTCCCGCAGTACGCCTCCGGTCCCACCCCCGACGACGAGAACCGTCTTCGGGGTCTGGATGGAGCAGAGCGGGAGGTGGGTTATCATTTCCCGATAAGCACATCCATCCCTTTCGGTCTGCTGAATTGCGCCGTCCAGAACCAACACCTTGCCGTAAGTCAACGATTCAAACACCATCACCTTCTGGTACTCGGATTTTCCTTCAAATAGTAGCTTCTCTACCTTTAATGAGTGTGCCTCTCCAGGCCACATTGGGCTAATCTCAGAGAACCATTCTCCGATCACTGGAGAAATATTGTATTCTTTGGGCTGCTGCTCATCATTGTTGTTGGTATTGACTTCACCCATTCTGTATTTTTTTTATACTAGCTAGTAGGATATGATTAGCTTGGCCAAGGGATACCTGTTGGGGTACTATTTGCTTATACTTTGTTGTACTTCACTCTCTTGATTGGGTATATGGGTCGTTCCGAAATCCTCTTCTTTATAGACTCATAAAAGTCTTACATAAAAGTGGTTTTCCATTTTTAGACACGCATTGTGATTAGTAGCTCAAACAATAATAATTAAAAAAAAATGCCACTTTGGACTTTGAAGAATAAGTCTAGTCTGATTTTAATTTAACCATGTGCTAAATATCTATAAAAATAATTGAAGCTACAAAAGTTGGCAACTCTAGTGTTTATGCGGAGAAGATATTCAGTACAATAGTTGTATCACATCAACTTGTGCAGTTTGATAAATTTGAGGAGTACTAATTTTACGAGAAAGAGATATATATAAAACCAAAAACACTAAAATTTTATTCTCTATTAATTGACTTCACTAAGAAATTGTATGCATCTGTTATATAGAAGATTTTTTTTTTTTTGTTTAGGCGGCTCTCTCAATAATATGTCCACTAGCCGGGGGAGATATCTACAATGGCAAATTAACTTTTTCTTTAAAAAAAAAAAAAAAAAGGCACGGCAAAACCAAGTCCTACTTGTTTCATACATTGAATTTGCACTACGTACGAAATCTCTCATTGATTTTCAATTGATATTCTCAATTCATTACCTAAACCAATAGGCATTACCTAGCCATGCCTCATGCTTTCTGTATCAAAGTTATAATCAGTAGCGCATAAAAAGTAAATGTCATATTCTGTTTTTTAGTGGCATGAGAAAACTAAACAAATTAATGTTGTACTTAAATTGTATTGATTAAATATATAAAGATTTTATTTATTATTACACAAAGTTATTTTACTTTGAATTTATAGAATAATGCCACATAGGATAAATCTTATGTAGCTCTCTAGGAAAGATGAACTAGTTTCTCTCTCTAGTTTCTCCTTTATAATATATATATATATATGGGAGCGGATAGAATACCGTTACGGATAAAATGACGGTTGTATCCAAAATTTTAACCGCATCGTTAATTTTATCCCATTGATTTTTGGTTAGCCAATTTTGTCCTTTACATTTGAAATTTTTGCCAATTTCATCCAATTGGCCCAGTTTCCGTTAAACTTAAGGGATTTCAGTTAATTTTTAACAAAAATATATCTCAACAGTATCAAAAAATTATAAAAATAACCCCAAAATATGTAAAATCAATAAAATAATCTCTTTTCATTATTTATTTATTTATTTTTAGTTTATTTTATTTCTCTTTACTACTTTCTATAACCATAAAAATATATTATAAAAATAAGATCTTAAAAATAATAAGTATTTATTTTTAAACTCTATTTTTGATGTGCAAACATGTGAGTTTGGTTCGGAAGTAAATTTTTCATATTTTTAAAATTTTTAATTAAGTTTTTTATTTTTTGTTAGTTACTATTCTTTTTCTCATACTTCCTGACTTGTATCTGTTGGTACTAGTATAATTACTAAATTTTATTAATTAATTTACCTTTTATTTCATAGATTATGAAAAAAAATTTAAAAATAAAGAAAATAGGAAGAAAAAATCGAGTTGAAATAAATACAAAAATTAATAGGTTATCATTCTAAACAAAAAAAAAAATCTAAACAAAAAAAAAACTGCTAAGACAAGTCTTTCCTCCTTGACTTCTTGTAATTCATAGGTAAGTTACGAAATATAAATTTTACTCAATCTAGCCTAAAATGATTATTTTGTTTGTGATAGTAAAAATAATATAAAAATTAGATAATTATTTGAAATAGGAAAAAGTGCTAATTTATTTAGTCCACGACGATGAATTGTTTTAAATTTTGTTAACACAATTTTTATTCTTTTTTAGTAATTGTTATTGTTACTTTGCCGATAGCTAAACTATATAAGCAATCATTGAATTTCATAACAAAGATAAATACGTATATTTTTTAATATTTTTTTAAAACTCGAAATTGAAATACAAAAGGTAAATTTTTTTCTTGAAATATAGTAACTATACTAGTGCCAACATATATAAGACACAGAGTACAAGGAAAGAATTGTTAAAAAATAAAATAAAATAAATTAAAATTTCTTAAAAAAATATAAAAAGACAAAATTACCTCTAAAACCCAACTCAAGTGTGTTGCACATAAAAGATATTTTTGAAAATAAATAACTATTTTTTAAAGATCATATAGTATATTTTGATGGTTATGAAAAGTAGTAAATAGAAATAAAATGAAATAGATTAAAATGAACACAAGTGAAAAGGGAATATTTTGTTATTTTTATATTTTTGTTAATCAAGAAAAAGGATGAAAACGACGTTCAAGTTTCGGAAAACTCAAAAAATATTTTGTGAGTTATCTTTATAATATTTTAAAAATATTAGGGTATTTTTGTTAAAAACTAACGGAGATCCATTAAGTTTAACGGAAATTTGACAAATTGGATGAAATTGACAAAAATTTCAAATATAAAGGACAAAATTGGCTAATTGAAAATCAATAGAGTAAAATTGACGACGGGGTCAAAACGGTGTAACTTCTATTTTTTTCCTTTTCCGTTACTTTGTACAATTTTTTAGAAAGAAGAAGGGAAAAAGAAGGAAAAATAAGTAAATATTTTGTAATTTTTGTGGAACTGAAGAAAAGTGGTGGCGACGGAAATGCGGGTAGTGATGGAGGGAGGATTGTGTAATGTTGGTGGAGGCATTTTATGGTTGTGGTGATGGTTTGTATTCCTCACAGATTTAGGAAGCGGTGATGGTAATTTTTAGGATAGAAGAGGGAAGGGGCGGTGGTGGTGCGGCAACTGAAAACAAGTAAAAGAGGAAGAAAAAGAAGAGGCTTAGGGTGGAAGTAATGGATTAGATTAGGAGATAAATTATGTGATAGGAACGTCAATATAATTAAATGGTAAGATAAGCGTATGTTACTGAATAATAAAACATTAGGGATAAAATGTTAAAATTTTGGGTCAACAAAATTTTTTACCAATAAAAAATTGTACAAAGTAACGTAATGTCATTGGAAATATTAAATCTAACAGAATTCTCATCAATTTGGATTAAATTGGCAAAAAGTTGAAATTTAGATGATGAATTTGGTTTTTTAAAAATATTTTGGGTCAAATTGGCCAGAAATTTGATGTTTTGGACAAAAGTGATTATTTTCTCAATTGGTTTATGATATTATAGAATGTTATTGACCTCATGGTTACATCTTATACCACAAAATGGGACGGTTCCGTAAAAATGGCCAACGAGACTCTAGATTTTTCTCCATATATATATATATAGAGAGAGAGAGAGTATTCTTTTTACAAATAAAATAAAATTAGCCCACCTCCCGTAATTATTTCATATATATATATATATATATAGATGGTATTCTTTCTACAAATAAAATAAAATTAGCCCATATCTATCCTAATTAGATTGAATTGGCTCTTCGAAATGGGAACGGACAGCTGATTTAAAACAAATGCAAGTAACTATAAGTAATTCAATTGATTTTATTTAAAACATTCAAGGTTGACGTCTCACCGAAGTAGATAAATCTCATAAGCAGATACCTTAATATTTTACATCGATTATATATAAAGACTAAATAGTCCTATTCCAATATACCGTATGCTGTCTTCAAGTGTTATATGATATTCTCTATTCCAAAAAATTAGTAAACATTGAGTTTTGAAATTTGTCTTTATGAACTATTTTTCTGAGACGGAGAAAATAGTATTATAAATTCAAAAAATACATTATTAAACTAGAATACAAGAAGGGAAAGGAAAAAAAAAAAAAAAAAAAGTAGAAAACAAGCTCCACAGCTTTTGGTAGCAGTAGCACCAAAGTGAAAAATAAAATAATATATATATGAGCTGAAGGATATGGTATTTTATTCCAAGTGTTACGGCCAATTAACTTTTGATTATTTTACTTCATCTCATTCAGCAAGTTGTGTGGCAAAAGTATAAATAACTACTTCTTTTCTAAAAAATCATTAACTTGTTTGTCTATGAGTCATTTAGACTAGGAACTTTTCTTGTTATAATTTGTATTTCAAACTATCAAAATCAAGTTGAGAGAGACCAAATTGTTTGTACACGCAAATTAAGTAAATTATTAATCTCTTCGTTCAAGAAAATATATATATAAACAAAAAAATCATTAACTTGTTTTTCTGTGAGTCATTTAGACTAGGAACTTTTCTTGTTATAATTTGTATTTCAAACTATCCAAATCAAGTTGAGAGAGACCAAAGTTGTTTATACATGCATATTAAGTATAGACTTCCTCTGTCTAAAACAATATTTCATATTGAATCTTATTTGTATTATTTTTTTGGTACAAATCTAAAATTCAATGTGAAGTACTATTATTTATTTGGGACATTGGAGTAAAAAGAAATTGTCTTAATTAGTTAATCTTAACCTAATTCAACTAATAATATTGGCACGACTTGATTTCGAGTGTGTGTGTATATATATATTTATGTAGAGAGATATGACTTAGTATTACAATCTCTCTTTCTTTTTAACGTTGTCATTAGTTAATATCTTTAGCCATTCGACACTCAAAGAAATTGAAGGATATTACCTCAATCTTAACCTAATTCAACTAATCTTGGCACGATTTGGAATGCTGGCGAAACTGCTCAAAGAATGGTACAAATGTTAAATTGACAATAAATCAAAGAAAAAAAAATAGTATAACCCCCAATGTTTTCTGTATTAAATGGATAGTGTTATTGGAGCTTTCAATTGGGAAGGCACAGTTGGATGTGGATATCATAAAGGGTTAATAGCAAAAACGCCCCCGAGATTTAATCCAAAATCTAAGACGTCCTCTGCTTTTAAGAAAGTATCAAAAATACTTGTTGACCAGCAGTTCAACTATTAAGAATGTAAAAAGGTATATTAAAAATATAAAAAGATATGATGAGATGAGATATTTATTAATAAAAATAATTAAAAGCACTATTAAAAAAATCAACCAAACAGAGCACTCACTTTGACTAAAAAAATAATTCACGTTGAGTTTTAAAATTTACTTTATTTTAATACAAATTTAAAATTTCATTGTGAACTACTTTTTTTGAAATGGTTAACTTTTGTATCAATGATGTTAGTATCAACACCACTAATGAAGGCTTATCTTGTATGAAATGAAGCACGTCGATGCAGACTATTTTAGAATCAAACACACAAGTCCTCCTATAAATTTGTTCAGATGACTATGCTTTATGGAAACGTGACACTCTTTCATACACTTTTTATCAATTTATTATTATTATATATATTAATGAATATTATTTGATACTTGAGTTCCAAATGATCATGAATGATACATTTCTTTTGGTGACACATTTTTATTGTATGATTGATGGTTTGGGGTGAAAAGGGGGAGGAGAAAGGAAAAGAACGAGAAATGTTCTACTATTACAATCCCCAGTGACAAAGGGAATATAGTTCTGTTGGGAGGGGGAGCAGCACATCAACAACATCAACAGCAATAACAGAGAGCCATGTATACAACAAATATATAGTAATAACTAGCAATAGCACAACAACAACACAATCCAGCTAGCTTCTTCTGCTAATTGGCTAGCTATATTCTAATCTGGCTAGCTACTTTGACAAACTGGCTAACTGTTACAGTCCGACTAGCTTATTTCAACAAGAGTCCAAAACTAGTTACCTATTTACTAGACAGAATGTAACACCACAAAACCAACTAGCTAATTCTACAAAACAAGCTAGTTACTTTCCAGACAGAATACTAACTACATCAAAATGGCTGGTTATTTTCACAAACAGGCTAGCTATTACAGCAACTACAATAGCTCAACCATACAACATCAATCAACCACACCTCCCACTACTCATGTTGCTAATTATTTACACTTCTATCAACAAACACACATACAAATACAGTAGAATAAAGTAAACAACTAAGCAATCAATAACAAGAACAACAAACAACTTACGTGGTTCAATCTCTCATAGATCTACGTCCATGGGAACGGTAAACACTTCCACTAGCACAAGATTAGAAGAGTTTTTACATATGGAGCATCTCTCAACACACTATGTCTCTCTCCCTCAATTCTAATCTCATACTCTCACACATAAACTGTTTCCCATCACTCATCTCCAACTAGCTAATTCTACAAAACAAGCTAGTTACTTTCCAGACAGAATACTAACTACATCAAAATGGCTGATTATTTTCACAAACAGGCTAGCTATTACAGCAACTACAATAGCTCAACCATACAACATCAATCAACCACACCTCCCACTACTCATATTGCTAATTATTTACACTTCTATCAACAAACACACATACATATACAACAGAATAAAGTAAACAACTAAGCAATCAACAACAAGAACAACAAACAACTTACGTGGTTCAATCTCTCATAGATCTACGTCCATGGGAACGGTAAACACTTCCACTAGCACAAGATTAGAAGAGTTTTTACATATGTGGAGCATCTCTCAACACACTATGTCTCCCTCCCTCAATTCTAATCTCATACTCTCACACATAAACTGTTTCCCATCACTCACCTCCAATGTGCTCTGGGGAAGAAGATGTACATCACTACAAAGAAAGTATAAATTAGGAGAGGATCTCCACTCACTCAATCCTAATTCTATCCCTCACTCAAGAGCTCTCTCAATTGAGTGGCTACATCTTGCTTTTCTTTTCTTTTCCTCTTCTTTCCCAACTAGGTTTAGTACAAAAGATTACTATATACTAAAACTCTACACAACTATTGCAACCTTATTGGACTTAAATAGGCCCAATACTCACTTCATGGGCTTGAGAATTTGAGGAGAAACCCAACAAAGCCCCCCTCGTCTCAAAATCCCAAGTGCAACAATAACATCGTCTTCAAGATCAAGGCTTGCATCTCTATCTTCAATTTGCGCTCTTCCACTGAATGTCAAAGAATCCGCAAAACATGTATCTTGAATTAACAACTTCTCAAAAATAGGACAATCTCTCCATGTGTGGGAATGTCAACAAAACACACACGTATTTTCTGCTTTCATCCTCAAAACCGCAACAACCACACTAGCATCGAGTCATTTTCTACTTGAACATTCCTCCTCCTATCATCTCTTCCAAACTCTTCAAGTCTTCATCATGATAGGGAACCACACCGGATGTGACATCTCCAAAACAGTATTCTGAGCATAATATTGCACGCACATGGCCAAGCTTACACACAAGTCACAATCCTTGTAAATGACTCATCACACATCAACTAGTGCGTCAACATCAAACAACATTTCAAAGTGAAACCAAAGGACTCAATCATCTTGTACCGCTGCTCTCAACTAGAAGGACACACTGCCTGACCAACATATCAGGTAGACTTTCGACACAAGAAACCTCACACAAATCCAAAGGGTTCAACTTCAAACACATCCACGGTCAGCACACTTCTCTCGACCAAAGTCCACCATGGGAGTCAATCATCTTGCACCACCGTTCTCCACTAACGGGACTCGCCGCCTGACAACCAGAATCAGGAAGACTCTCGACGCAAGGAACAACAACAGAATCTACACATATCAACTTCAACTTCCTCAAACTTTGGTGGTTTGATTCTCACCAATCACAAACTAACCGATCTTCACACTCTCCAGTATCGAGCCTTCAAGCTCTGATACCACTTGTTGGGAGGGGGAGCGGCAAATCAACAACATCAACAGCAACAACAGGGAGCCATGTATACAACAAACATATAATAATAACTAGCAATAGCACAACAACAACCCAATCCAGCTACCTTCTTCTACTAACTGGCTAGCTATATTCTAATCTGGCTAGCTACTTCGACAAACTGGCTAGCTGTTATAATCCGGCTAGCTTATTTCAACAAGAGTCCAAAACTAGTTAGCTATTTACTGGACAGAATGTAACACCACAAAACCAGCTAGCTATTTCTACAAAACAAGCTAGCTACTTTCTAGACAGAATACTGACTACATCGAAACGGACGGCTATTTTCACAAACATGCTAGCTATTACAGCAACTACAATGGCTCAACCATACAACATCAATCAACCACACCTCCCACTACTCATATTGCTAGTTGTTTACATTTCTATCAACAAACACACATACAAACGCAACGGAATAAAGTAAACAACTAAGCAATCAACAACAAGAAGTACAAACAACTTATGTGATTCGATCTCTCATAGATCTACGTCCACGGGAACGGTAAACACTTCCACTAGCACAAGATTAGAAGAGTTTTTACATATGTGGAGCCTCTCTCAACACACTATGTCTCTCTCCCTCAATTCTAATCTCACACTCTCACTCACAAAGTGTTTCCCATCACTCACCTTCAATGTGTTTCGGGGAAGAAGATGCAATCTCTACAAAGAAAGCACAAATTAGGAGAGGATCTCCACTCACTCAATCCTAATTCTACCCCTTTCACTCAAGAGCTTTCTCTCAATTGATTGGCTACATCTTGCCTTTCTTCTCTTTCCCTCTTCTTTCCCATCTAGGTTTAGTACAAAAGATTCCTATTTATACTAAAACCCTACACAACTATTACGACCTTATTGGACTTAAATAAACCCAATACTCACTTCATGGGATTGAAAATTTGAGGAGAAACCCAAACAAGTTCAGTCCACATTGCAACAAGTTAACTGTGAGCAAAAAAATTTCGCAACCTCTGTGATGTACAAGACCAGTCAAAAAATAGAATCAATAAGAATTTCGGGCCTATGAAGTATGAAGATTTGAACTTTGCAATCTATTGTGATCGAAAATAGCCAGTCAGATCAATATCCATTGCATTCACCAAAAATAATCCAAAAATTATGTTCTTCAACAGAGAATAAAACACAATAAGGTTGAGTGTCTTTTTGTCCGCCATCATATCTAACCTGAACTGTATATTTTTATTCTTCAATTCACAAATTAAAAGCCAAGCTAGTCAGCAGTGGTTTTTTTTTTCCGTTAATGTTTTTCGAATTGATTGAGAATAATGCATTATTTATCAAAATTATACCCTAATTTTAAATGTTTAAATCCTAAATGAAAATGTTCAAAATGGCTATAATTTCAAAATTATTTGTAATTTCCACTACATAAATCATTATTCATGTTTTTCTTACAAAAACAGAAGTAAGAGGAAATGTATACTATATTGAAAATGTAATAATGTTATTCAAAAAAAAAATGTAATAATGGATTAAAAATTGGAGACATCTCATTTGAGTGTGAATTTCTTCCACTGGTCGCTCCATGAAAGCGTGCAAGAAAAGGACTCCACGAGCTGACACGTGCCACCACCTGCCGTGCAATGCACTCTTGAAGTTCTAAGGTTCCGCTAGATTCTTTCTACAAACAAATGGCTCACAGCTTGCCAACTCAGCATTCCCCCAATTTCACAAACTCTAATTTCTTCCCTCCTCATAAATTTAAATATTCCCCAGAATTTATACAATATATCCCACAAAATTATCTTTGATATTTCTGTTCTCTAATAAAAATCTGTTGATACAATTAGCAAACTTTATTGTTGTTTTCTCATTATCCACTTCAAATTGTACAGAAAAAGGTTGATTCTTTTGCAATGGCTCAGTTACTATCTCCAGTTTGTACAGACACTCTCAAATTCCAAAACCCAATTTCAAGTATTGGTTCAAGGAATCAATGGCCTGTGATTGGGAAGAATAGTTTGAGTTGGGGGACAATGGGCCATGGTGCTAGAAGGAAAGGTTCCAAAAGAGTAAGGGTTGCCACTGGAGACCCTTCTTTGGCTGAAGATTTTGCCGATGATTATTATCAAGTTCTTGGACTGGTAATTGCATTCTATCCCAATTTTATTTCATTTCAAAGATCAAACCTTTTAGTATGATTACTTCATATTTTGATGGTACTTTTTGGGTTCGTTTTTTGTGCATTTATCTCTGTCAAATTCAGTGGCTTCTTTTTACTCTGCTTGGAATGTTTTAAGACTTTTAGAAAACTAATAAAAATTAGGAAAGTAGGAAGTAACTTATTAGGATTGAGAAGTTGTGTGGTCCTTCTAGGCCTGAAATTGTTAGTTTCATGGTGTTGAACCTCCTCTTCGCTCTTCGGGAAAGTCAAAGTTTTCAAACGCCTGAAATTGCAATCGTAATCGAGTTTGGTACATCATTAGGGATCTCCACTTTGTTAAGCTCTGTGACTTCTAAGATGAAAGCTGTTTTATGTTTCAGCAACTTTATAGTAGCATTTGAGGGCATGAGCAGCAGTCGGATGATTAATATGATGAGTTGGGTTATCAGTCTTAGCTTTATTGTGAATATGGCTTAGCACAGAATGAAAGGGCAAACAGGGGAAAGAGGAATAAGTTTTAAATGTTTGAGATGGCTCCCATATAAGCTTTACATCGGAATTTTAGTCAGGCTCTTCCTGATGAGAAGTTGATTTAAAGTTTAAAACCAAAAAACGCTGGATGTAAATAAATGAGATTGGTTATTTTTCTCTGGTATGGAAATGTTTTAAACGCCAGCTGCCGCAATTTGAATTGGACCTGCATTGTCGGAACTTGGTTGAAAAGCTATGATGCAGGCCTCAGAAAATGAATGGTTGAAAGGTTTGATCCTCAGAGGATAAGCGAAGTACAGCTTATTTGCATTCGATGGTTGCATATTGTTTCATTTTCCTTTGCTAAAAAATTTCACATTGAACTCTGGATTGTGTAGAGAACATGGTCGAAATTTCCTTGTGGATGACAAAATACTTCATTTTCTGATTTGCCAATGTAATCAGCTTCCAGATGCCACACCAGATCAAATCAAGAAAGCTTACTATAATTGCATGAAGTCCTGCCATCCAGACTTGAGTGGGAATGATCCAGAAGTGACAAATTTTTGCATGTTTATCAACGAGGTGTATTCGGTAAGAGACTCTCAAAGTAATCTTCACCGACGCATTTAAATCTCATGATACTGATAATGCGGTATGGTGTGTAGGTTCTTAGTGACCCAGTGCAGAGGATGGTTTATGATGAAATTCATGGCTATGCTTTGACAGCAATCAATCCGTTCTTAGATGATTCAAGCAATAAAGATCATGTCTTTGTTGACGAGTTCAGCTGCATAGGTAGACATGTTATGTTTGCTTTACTATTAATATCCGAGAGCTCTGTGCAATACAATGAACTGGCTATCCTGTGTTTTTTTCAAACCCATCAAACAAGAAGTTTATGGCTGATGAACTATGGGTTGCTAACTTACACGTTATCTCTGCTCTAAACAGGTTGCAAAAATTGTTGTAATGTTTGTGGAGATGTATTCACCATTGAGGAAGATTTTGGAAGAGCTAGAGCATATAGTCAGTCTGGAAAGAATGATTCAGTTCAGCAAGCTATTGATAGCTGGTATAACTTTTTTGATATGGCATAATTACCTTGGGGACAATGGGAATAAGATCTTACAGTCAAACTTATGGTTGCAAGTCTGTTGGGGACACAAGTTTTACATGGTTGGCTAGTCCTGTTTGCTCTGTTTAAAACTTAAGATACTAAGCAACCATTTAAGATGTCTTCTGTTTTGTGCTTGGATATTACCAAGGCAACTTCATAAGACCTAACAGATACTGCTTTATTTCAGTCCCGTTGATTGCATCCATTGGACCTCAGCTCAGCAGTTGTCTTTGCTTGAAGATGAAATGCGCAGAATAGAAAGAGTAAATGTAAGCCATTTCTAGCACGTTCCCTAACTTTTATGGTTAAAATTTTTCCAATTAAGTTTCTGAACATGCTGTCATTTAGAAAAAATATCAGTCCAGTATCAGCTGTGACTTTTACTTATAAAAGAGTACTTGTAAACAAGCTTGTTTTGGAAAGGTGATTATCTCAAAATAACTAGATGTCAATTGACGGGTTTCGTTAAATAATGTTTCTTAATTTTGGTGATGCACTAGTATTGAAAGGGCCGAAGGAGAATATAGCCTCTTCTCAACTATGGTTGGCTATCCAATTACTCTCTGATTTGGCGTTTGCGGCCAGATAAATGGAGTTTGCATATTTTTTTCAAGTCATTATAAGTAGTTCCTTCCTAGTGATCTTTTAGTAGGTACAAGGAAGTAGCATGTCAGTGAGCATTGAAGTGAGATCTACATAGTGTCATCGCGTTTTGAATGTTCTCCTCGCTCTCAACTGCTGAACTCATTGCATGTTTTAATTTTCATTTGCAATATGTAGTATTTAGCTTAAGAATTCCTGTCAGTTTATCGATTGATGTTTTTGGCTCGTATGTCTTCAGGTAGCATTCATGCTTTCCGGAATGGGATCCGGAGCCGTGGATGTTTTCAGAATGGTATGACAATTTTCCATTCATAATGAGATGAGTTTTCTGCATAATGCTCAATATCTGAGGGCGCCTACTTTTGGCGCTTTCTGGTTCTTCCTACTATCGTAGGTGACCAGAAATAGTTTATTGAAAAGATGATTGCAACTGCTGAGTTATAATCGCTAATTGAAGAGAATGTGTACTCTTTAGAAAATCATAGCATGCATGTAATCATATTTGTCGAAGGTTCTTATGAGGCTTAATGATTGTTGAGATACCTGGAGTTCAACAATGGATGTCATCTGATATTCGGCTTTTAGTTAGATATGCACTAGGATCTATTCACATCAATATCTAGTTCACTCGAATATAAGTGCTGCCGGTGTATGGTAAAGGACACGCCTAGTCAATAATTTTACCCAAACATAGTTTCTGAATCATCTTCTTGTATTAATTAAAAGAATACTATGAGTCAATTAATATATCTGATCAAGGCAAACTCTTCAAGACAGTCTGTTTGGTTTGTTATAGTTCCCTTTTCTCTAGATTGTATTTTTAACCTCACAAACTCATAATTGCAGGCAAGTTCTAGATGGGAAAAGAGGCAAAGCAAAATCTTGGTATGTACCTCATTGGATGGAAAGTTACTAAGTTGTCTGTTGAAATTTTGTTCATCTTGTTTTGATTTATCTTTCATTTGTTGATTTTCGTTTCCCTACTTTAATAATTAATTGTAATTCTGCTTCAGGAGCAAGCTAGAAGGAGGATGGCATCGCAGAAAGCATCCGGTAAAGATGAAATAATCTGGAACAACCTCTGGGGCAAACCTGGAGAAGAAAGGAATTCAGGTAAGAAATATTTATGTAGAAACAATTTTCTTTTCATCTAGTTTCCTTTGAGCAGTATTGGACAAATTCAGTTGAGTATCTTTTAGTATTCCTTACCCAACGTTTACCCAAAATCTAGTATGACCGGCATCAAATCATTTGGCTGTTCTATACCAGAACTTTGATGATTCATTCTTTTAGAGAAAATTGACCTCCTGGTGAAATATAGAACAGGACGTACAGACATTGAAATGATTTTAGGAGATTATATATGTTTTTGTAACATAACAAGAACCTTTCTGCTGCAACAGAAGAAGACATTAACGAGAGGGCAAAGCGAGCAGCTGCTGCCGCTAGAAGATGGAGGGAATACTCTAGGAGGGGAGTCGACAAGCCGCCAACCATGAAACTTCCTGAGACAGTCTCGAATTCAGAGGACTAAACAAGTAAATACGACAGTGATAACTTTTTCGCGCTATAGTTTTGAATTTTACTCACAAACAGTGTACATAATGAATCTCATATTCGGGGGTATAAAAATCCATCTGTTACTCCCGCCATCCATTGTCCATAGATTAAAATTACAAAGCATCAATTCCACAGTGAAGTACATATGGACCATGACTCTTCTCTAGAATCCAATAGTACACTGTTGCGATTGCGACAGTATGTCGCCTACACGTTTAAGTTTATTTATCATTGCAATAGTCTTACCATCAAATCTCTATTTGAAAGTGGCAAAACCATAATCCTTTCAATTCTATGTTGGTGGCTTTGTGGTTACCTTCAAATTTTTCTTATGTAATCAATTGGCATTTTCTCCTATTTTGCTAAATTCTTTAGCTGTTGACAAGGCATTCCACTTAGAATCTGGTCACTTTGGCTGCACTGGCGTGCTATTGGTGAATTGTCGATTTTTAACTATTGTTGTTATCATTAGCTCCGTAATGGAATTGAGATGTGTAAAGCTTTCATCTCTAATTGCTTTAGAGAAGGAAAGTTTGTCCATGTCTTATTCTATTGAACAACTTTATCATGTCACCAACTCAAACCATCTCTCTGTGGCATTCTGTGCCGTTTTCTTGTGGGCAGTAGACAATTACTGGCTAAAGGGCTATTGATTTGGTGGGACAAATACCATGGGCTCTACTGTCCAGTTTAGAGTGGTTGCCATTGGGTCGACTGAAGCAAACTAAAGGCATGAGATATATGATCACCTAGGTCGATTGAACAGACAATGAAGAAATGGCTGGTTGTCAGGTGAACTTGATTAATCCTAATTCTGGTCTCTGAGCATCATCTTCCATGCATGTTTTTTTACATTTCTAAAGAGAACTTTTTACACTTTCAATCAATTCTTTTTTTACATTTGCAACCCAAGTTCAAAACCACAATCAGATACAAGAATGAAACTCTCTGCACACATGATTTTAGTTTCTGTTATCTTACATATGAGGCAACAGAATGTGCCCAAGCTTTAAGCTGGTCTTTTACGGTGTTTTCGTTGCACAACGGTGGAATTTTCCAGTTAGCCATTGGTTTGTTTACCTTTCTTTGATTCAAAACGTTCCATGCTTCAGAAAGATAAGGCCTTGAAACTACTCTGTCCTTATTTCCATTGACAGGCTCATCGTTGCTGTCCTTATTTCCCCATCTCTGCAATCCAGGCAGTATTGATACCAAGCTTGATGTTCTGTCTTCCTCAGTGAAAACAAAACCCAAATCCATAAACCCTTTCAGCTCCTCATACTCAAGCTCTGATAAGCTTCTGCTAATCCCTTTCCTTCCCTTCCTGCCTTTCCTCCTCCTTCCTCCATCAGTGCTGACCTTTTTCTTCATGGATTTCTCAATTTCAGCACTTTGATCTGAGAAATTGTTTTCTTTGCCGAACGAAATGACTGATTTGGGAGATGCAACATCCGGGTCGTTACCTATATTGCATCTTATGCATCGATCACTCTTGGAACGAACTTGAAACTTTGCCATCTCCGAAAGCTTCTGCGCCGGCGTTTCTAGCTTGTGAAAATCTTGATGATCATACACTGATTTTGTAGAAAAAGAAGATGATGTGCATGGTTTCCTGATACTCAGTATTCCATGCTGGAACCAATATGAATCTAAGAGCTTCAGAAGTTGTTCTTCAGCAGCAGCCATTTTTTTGGGAGGTAGTGAGAAAACAAATGGCCAAAAAACTAGTTGATCAACCAACTGGCTGAATCGTTGAACAAGCAGCATATTATATGGGCACATTTGGTGCATTATTAAATGGGAATATTATTTAGAATCTCTTTAGTGGGGGCTAATTATAAAACTTCCCCCTTCATTTGTCTTATCAGCTAGCACAACAAAAAGACAAATATATATTTAATGTGAAAGATTTGTTCTACAGAACTCTTCTAATCATTGAAGGATTAGTTGAGTTTTGATTAGTCATCTTAGGAATATACTAGAAAATTATGCTAATTCAAGTTTACAGGTACTAAGCTTACTTGGTCTCTGTGTATTACTGAGCATCAAATTGAGTTTAAATATTAAATCACTGGAACCAAAGTTGACTCTTTCTATCTTGGCAGCTTGCCTCCCAAGTTATTTTAATCCGATTGTTTTGGTTAACATGTTGATGAGCGCAAGAGTAAATTCTGCTTGAATTTTTTTTTTTTTTTTTCTGTAATGCTAAGTTTTTAAACCTTTGGTCACGTTTAATGAAAACATAGACAAATTAGCTCGCAAATGTATAAGATATTTAAAATAATTTTTGAAAATGATTAAGAAACAATTAATTTTCCACGAGTTGCTTGCAAGAATGCAGGATTAATTTCAACAAAAATACCAAGAGAAGAAAGCAAATAAGGATGAGTTTTTCATGACTAGTTTTGGTATCATGTAATCTTATCTTACATTTTAAGCATTTATTTATAACCAATCAAATCACAATGTTACTACAGGTGTAGGCGTGAATTCAACAAATTAGGGCCCATTTCCTTAAGTTGGAGGTTTGATTATTTCTCTCTTATATATATGGCCGAATTGAGTTGAGAGGGAGGAGGAGTGGGGAGGGTGGTGGAAGGCGGTGGAATGGGTGGTGTTAGGGATGGCAAGCAAGCATGATTTTGGACTTTGACCCTTCATCTGGTACGGCTGCCTAAATCATATATAATTTGTCAACCCAAAAAAAAAAAAAAAACACCATTTCTCTATCCAGATTTTCATGTCTAAGACTCCAACCAATCTCTACAATGAGGGCGAGTCATGTAGATTTCCATTCATTTTTTGGACGAATAAATATGCGGTAGTTATATACTCTCTCCGTCCCATAATTATTATCCACTTTGAATTTTTATTTTTAATTTAAATTATACTAAAAGTAAAATCTAAAACTGGACATTAATTTTGGGACAGATGAAGTAATTTCTTATCGTGTTTTTCTACAATATATTTTGTTAAAACCAAGACAGAGCCCGGTGAAAAAAATAAATATTTCAAAATAGACGTCGTTCTCACAAATCGAGATATATTTTGTCAATTTTTTCTAATACTACCCTTACATTAAAAATTGTAATGATGTTTAATGTAGAATTGTACTCCCTCTGGTCCTTAATATAAGATATTTTGATTTGTCCTATGTTTAACCTAGTATACATTTTTAATCGACGAAAAAACCTTAAAAATATTTCATAACAATCAAGAAAATACAACGAATATAAAAAATATATATTTAAGATTTTTTTGTTAATAAAAAATGTGAACTAGGTAAAATTTAAAAAAGGTCAAAATACCTTATAATAAGGACTGGAGGGAGTATTAGAACTAAATGTTATTGGAAGTGCCAATGTATCAAGAGTAAATGAGAGTATTATAGTATTTTAATAAAATAATTATTGTCTCCTTAAACTTTGTGAAATCTCTCCAACGACATCTATTTGTGAATGGAGGGAGTATATATATATATATATGTTTGTATTTGGAGTTTGTTCACATGAGATTTTTTTCTTATTATTGTTATTCAACGTTCTAGGTTTGCATTTTTCTCCAAGCATTTCAAATGCTCTTTTTGTATGATCCATTTGCAAAGTACCATTTATAGCGGAACAATTATTTTAAAAAATAGAAAAAACTTCGATCTTTGAATACTCTTAATTCTGATTCGTATTTTGTTCTCTTAACATAGTACTCCCTCTGTCCCAGAAAAATAGTTCACATTGAGTTTTCAAATTTGTACTAAAACTAGTACAAATCTCAAAATTCAGTGTGGACTATTTTTATGGGACGGATGTAGTAAAAAATATGAAAATAACAATGATAAAGCTAGTAAATTATTATAGTTACTTTAACACAGTTACTTATGTATAATTCACTCATTATATTAAACCTTCTAACACCTTTTACTATATCTTACTCTTTTTATCTCAAAATTATTGTCCAATTTTTACTTTCATTTTTAGTTCAGTTTTATTGAAAATAAAAATCTAAATTATATAATAATTTCGAAAATGAAAGAATATCATTGTTTATCATATCCAAAATTCCCATTCCCATCCCGAGAAACTACGAACAACCTTCTGATACGGAGTGGGCTGAGAAATGGGAAATTAGGAGATGACGTGGGCTGGGAGATGGGAAACTCAAAGCAGCATTTTGGATAGGCAAGCACGGTCTATGAATCCTCCTAGAAACTGAAAACCATAAAATGGATAAGTTAATAGATAGAAATGGGCTTCAGCCCGTGTTCCTGGAAAATCATTGAACAGTTTGTTATTCAGACTTAAAGAGTAAATAAAGTACGGCTCATTTGCCATTTACATTTGACAAAAAGAAAATTTTTACGTTTTCTATTTAAAAATGTTTTTTTAGTTAAATCTTTTACATTTCCTGTTTTTTTTTTTTGGATATCGCTTCATTGTAACACCGTCGAATTCAATCGAATGACTTAATATTATTATATTATATATTAAAATAGAGTTTTCAATCAGAAACATGGTGCAAAATTAGATAGAATAATCTATATATCAAAAAATTAGATAACCAAGTCTACATATCGCAATCACATCACTCTATCATTTAATAGTAATTTTTTATTTATAAATTTGTACTAATTTTATCGGGTTTATTTTTTTGTCATTCTAGTAAAACTCTCTTTATTATTATATTATTACTTCCTTTTTTATTGGAAAATGATATTATGTAAAAAAAAAATAGTAAAAAAAGATAATGAGTGATGTGGAGTATTCGTGGCCCCTTGTTTTTTTCTACTTTTCCGTTAAAATTTTATATTTCTAAAAATTACATTTTTACTCCATATTAATAAGTACACATATTTAGTGAGGATGGTGTATTTGTCATTTCATTAGTCACTATTCTATTTCACTATAATTTGTCACTGTCTCTATCATTGCTCTTTTTTATTATTAACGAAAAACCAGAAAAAGCATGTAAAAAAATATGTAAGTCGGGACAATTATCTTGGTTTATATCTTTCGAGTTACCAATTCATTTTGTTCTCATGATGCCTTATCTTTCTTTCCTTGCTTTTGCAGTAAGTTCATTTCGCGAAGAAAAGTTTGAAATGAAGTTGGTATGGAACGAAGATCCACTGCTACCTGGATTCACCACATTTCCTTCTTTGCTACATAAAATTATACCCAAATCATATTAAATGGTATCAAACTAAAGAATTAGAGCCTGAAACAACCCAAAAAAGCAGTGAAAAAGTTTTCATTAATTATTATGTTAAAAGCAATTGGAATTGGAATATTTCTATTTAAATATCCAGAAAATAACACGTCGATTTTTTGCATTACGAACTATATTCAAGAATATGTCTATTACATTCAAAAAAAAAAAAAAAAACCCCCCTATCGATGCATAAAAAGAATTGTTTGGTCAGCTGATTATCAACAGAAATCAACAAAACCACAGTACCTAAACTTTGGGTTTTTCTACGAACATTGCCCCGCCAAGTATGACGCGTAATACAAATTAGAAAAGCGAAAAAAATACGATGAATGTATTTCTTAATTTATCAAAAATGATAGACATTCACGAAAGATGTAATAGTTTTGTAATAAAAGATTTTTAATTCGTAAGGGCTATAAGAAACAAAGAGGACACAATTTGACTTGGAATCTTACGATCAGGATCCGATCCGATCCTGAGACGCTAAAACGATCTTGTGTGAAATCCCGATTTTGAAAATATTGGTACCGACATTGAAACACAGATCCAATATCAGACCCATATTTCTCTGTACATAAGTAAATATCTCTTGGTGAATTTAGAATCTTGAATGTGATTAGTTAGAAATTAAATTGAGCAATCTGATTGGTTTATTAGTGCATGTGACATCATCAATTTTAAATTGAGCTATTTGATTGGTTAATAAGTTAACATGACATCAATAATTTAAAACAAAGTTATAATGGTCAATTAATAAACTGATTTTCATTTATTTTAATTTGCCAACCAGGCTTCCAAAAACGAAGAGAGCAAAGCCTCACCCGCTCACCCTAATGCGGTAATGCCCACGATGGTTGAGCAGCTTTCTGATAAATGAAGCGTAGTAATTTGCAATATTTGGTTGTTCCCAAGAGGCAGCTTTGGGTAGCTATAGGCTATAGGGGCACTGGCGTCCAAAAAAAAAAAGAGGGATTAGCAATTAAGTTCCCGAATTCATCACGTTGTGGCACTTAAAGGATACAACGGTAATCTTTTGGTACTATTTTGCATTAGTCTATAATTACAAGATCCCAAAAATCTTTTAAGGGCACCAGTTTTGTTGAATACAATTTTTCATTTTGATTCATCCCGTGCATATGAACAAAAGGATTTTTTTTTTTTAGGCTAATTTACCCAGCTTCCATTTCTTTTAGCTAGAATATAGATTAGGCTAATTTAGTTGGATCTTTTTAGAGGTTTTGACAATATTATAGAACTAACGATACACATTAGCATGGCTCTTTTATGACCTGACGTAAGGAAGGATTTTCATTAGTTTTGATTCATTTAGCCTTAAGATTACATCCTGTGTGAAAGCAATATTATTAATACAGTATTTATTTTGGTATTACGTAGTTATGTTGTTTCCGTCCTTTTTTTGTTTGTTTCAATTAAAATTATATTTTATTTAGGGGCTCTTTTGTTTTAGGTATCATTATAGTTGATATGTGAGAACCGCCTACAATTTGTTCAAAATGCTTAGATTAAACTTTGAGAATAACTTATTAAGTTATTTTCTAATTGAGTTCATGCCCGTGAAGAAAACTTGTTGAACAAGTACTCAATACATGAACTCAACATAAGAACTTATTCAACTCAATAAGCTAAAAAAACTTGAACTTTTCGCAACAATTTAAAAATCAATTCAATATAAGAACTAGTCATGTGTAGCGTGATAGAAAAAGAACTAGTATATTTATAAATGTTTACAGTTGATTACTTTTAATAATATAATAATATATTACATTATATATTATATATAATAATATAACAAATGATTACTAATAAATTAATATAATATATTCATTATATTTTTTCTTATGATATAATGGTATAAAAAGTTAATGTTATGATGATAAAATAACACGTAAAGATCAATAGGGAGAAAGTTTTGTAAGATGAGAAAAAGAATAAAAGTTTTTGTGAAAAACAAATAGTAGAAGAAAAGTATATAAAAAAATTAAAAATAATTATTTGGAGGAAAAAATTATATAGAGAATAAGAAAATATGAAAAAAGAAAACGAGATAATAGTGAAAATGAAATAATTATTACAAAATTTTCAATAAATAAAGTTTTAATGATAGGTCACCAAATTTAGAAGAAAAAAAAAACAAAGAAGATGAAGACTATGCAACGAAGAAAAAAATAAAGTAAACACAATATTGTAGGAAAAATATACGAACAAATTTTTAAGGAAAGGTCGCAATAAAAGGAATATAGAAAGATGCAAAGTAAAGATAAATGTGGGAATTGAATGACAGCTTAGTGGTTAGGTTACTGTTTTTCCTTATGATAGACTAGAGTTCAATTCCAATCAGAGATTGTAAGGGGGTTTTACCCATATGGGGTGGATTTTAAAGAAAAAAAAGTGATAAATGTATAGAAAAAAATAATGAAAATATTAGAGGGAGAGTTTAAGAGATATGAAACGGGTATTATTATCTAGAGAGATCACTATAAAAAATTAAAAGAATACGTTTAGAAGATGAACAATAAGTTAAATTGGATGGACAATTAGTCATAGATCTATAAAACGAAAAAGATGGACAATAAGTTAAATTGGATAATTTTAAATATTAAAAATTATTCCAAATGAACTTAAAATAACAAAACATATTGATATAAAAGAGACACAATTTTTACATATATTACTCCACTCATATCATATAATCATTAAATCATAAAGCGTATACATGTCTTGAACAATCCGCACAACGTGCTATAGATATAAATTTTTCACTAGCTCAATGATAGATGAAAATATGTAAGCAAAAGTAAATTATAAATAAAGTTATTTTTTTTTGTAAATTTTTATGTATTAAAGTAAAAAATAATATACTGTATATTACAATACGTAAAAGATTAAAAACAAGGTAACAGACTAACAAAGACATTTTCAATGTAAAGAACAATTTTTTATTTCAATTATTTCCACTTTTACATGACAACAAGCTAAAATTTCTGCTTATAAATACAAAAATTGATGCGACTTATTTAAAGCTCACAAACTGGTTCTTTTCTTTCAAAATCTGATCGGTACTCCTACATACATAGTAGATCAGAGTTTGATCCATAGAATGATCTTTTACCTCTTCTCTTCTAAACCATAATTAGTTACCTCTTCGAATTTACAATGAGTTCGACCGTTCGAGATAAATAATTTCAATTCTAGCTAGTCAAATGATAAAATGTCCCATTAACGGGAGGGGGAAAAAGAAAAAAAAATCCAACAAATAAACATAATATAAACATTGAACTCTTTTGCGTTTTGCCTCTGGTTCACATGACATTGATAATCTTGTCCAGTGATGAGCACGATTTGGTCATTTCAAGGATTTTTGTTTTTTCCTTTTCGTAGACGGAATATGAAGATATTATACAATTAAATATATATATATATATATATATATATATATAAAGGTGATAAAAATACTCACCGTCATATGGGTTCAATTATTGAAATTTATGCTGGTTCGGCGGTTCTATGTTCAAATGTACATCATGTAACCACAATTTTAGCTAACTCATTTTTGCTCTATAAATTAAAACAAATATAAATAAAACGATCAAGGACACTAATTTGTACTAATTGTAGGGACATTTATAAATCAATTAACTAATCATTTATTGAATCCCAGTAATTTGTGATAGCTTCATGCATGCCAACCGCACAAGTCACAACCCCAATATTCTTCGTTGAAGCCTTGATAAAAACAAAACGGTATATAAAAGCAAATTAATTTAAGAGTGCGATAGTTGGTTTATCGGATGATTGATTGTAGTTACAAGGTCGAATTTCAAACTTTGTTGGAAGTTATTTAAAAGTTTAATAGAATGAAATGTGATTTAATTGTATCCTACTGAAAAATGAAAATATTAATTAAAGACTATATATAAGAACGAAATGTAATTTAAACTTGCTAATCCTTTTTTTTTCCTCAATTTATTATAACATGGTGTACATTTAAAATATGAATAAGAGGGTGAGTTTGTCCAAAGAAAAGTAAAAGAAAAAAGAGTTCTCGTTAGGCCTTTGGGGAGACAAAAACGCGGAATCTCAATCTCTCCTGTCTCGCAAATTATGCAATAAAATAAGCCAAAAAGTGCAGGTATCAGCCAGCTCGCTTATGATTAATTTTGACATCTAATACGACGTTGTATCTGCCCTTCTTCCTCTCTGAAAAAGAAGCTTCCTTATATATTCCACTACAATTATCTTCAATCATTTCAAAAATTAAAAGGAATTGGAATAATTAATCATCAATCATATAAATCTTTCCGTGTAGGCGCAAAATAAGATTAATTAAAAAAAAAAAAAAAAAGAAACATTACAAGACTCGTAACTTGAAAACTATATAAGCTCTTCACATTTGCGAATTATAGACACACTTCAACATAACTAAATCACAAGTTATCTTCATTCAATTCTTACTTTCTTTCTTTATCACAACATTCATTCATTCTTTCATTCGATCAGCGCATTGCAAATCGAATCAATTTTGATCAACGATGAAGAAGTCGTCCTTCATCACGGCATTCTTGGTGTTTATGGCATCGGTTTTGGCTTCTCACGGCGCCGTCGGCAACTTCTACCGGGATGTTTCCAAAACATTCGGCGACCAAAGAGTTCAGATATCCGAAGGCGGCCGGCAACTCAGTTTGTCCCTGGACCAACAGTCGGGTTCGGGTTTTCAATCCAACAGTGAATATTGGTTTGGAAGATTCGACATGAAGATGAAGCTTGCTCCCGGCAACTCAGCTGGCACTGTCACCACATTTTACGTGAGTTTTTTCTCTTATTCAATCATTAATATTGTTTGTATGAGACTGTGTGTGTGTGTGTGCGTGTTTTTTTTTTCTTTATTTATTTAGAGTTTTTACATCATTAATTAATTTGTTGCGTCTGTAATGCAGTTATCGTCACAAGGGCCAGGGCATAGTGAGATTGATTTTGAGTTCTTGGGGAATGCTTCAGGGCAACCCTACACTTGTCACACCAACGTTTTTGCTCTTGGAAAAGGTGGCAAAGAACAACAATTTCATCTTTGGTTTGATCCAACAGCTGCCTTCCACACTTACTCAATCGTTTGGAACCCTCAACGCATCATGTAAGTTTTCAATCTGTTACCAGATAATCTGTCACACTTATTAATATTGTGTATCGTATCTTATAACATTTATAACAATAAACTCAATAATTCGTCTGTTACGTACTTTCAGCTTCTTGGTGGACAACATTCAGATTAGAGTGTTCAATAACCACGAAGCCCATGGAGTTGCATTCCCAAAGGACAAACCTATGAAAGTGTATTGCAGTTTCTGGGAAGCGAGCGACTGGGCGACACAAGGCGGCCGTCTGAAGATCGATTGGGCAAATGCACCATTCAAAGTTTATTACAGAGATTTCAATGCAAATGCTTGCATTCATAATAAATCATCAGCTTGTCATCGTATCGGAACAGATTCCATTAGCGAGTCGATGATTAGTGGTCAAGAGTGGAGAACTCAAGGACTTGATGGCAAAGGCAGAAACAGGATCAGATGGGTTCAGAACAAGTTCATGGTCTACAACTATTGTTCTGATTTAGCCAGGTTCCCTCAAGGTGTTCCCTCCGAGTGCAAACGTCCCAGGTTTTAAGGCGCAGTTCGACCGATCTAAAGAGTTTTTCTTTTCCATTTTTTTAAGCAATTTCATGAAATAATTTTTTTGGAGTGTTTTGTTTCTTTGATTTTCCGAATTTAATGTGTTATTGGCATTGAATTATCATTCTTTTGAAATTTTGTAATTGTAAGTTTGCTTGCCATTTGCGAATTGTAGTACCCTTCTCATAATTTGAGAAATGTTCATGTTTTTTAGCATATATGAAAAATACAATAATGCTTCTATTGCCATTTTCCTTTTTTGTACAATAAAGGAAGTCATAGTCTAAAATGTAAAAGTATCCTTCTGTGATTGGGAATCTCGAGTAATCCATTTTCTTAGTATGTGAGTACGATGGTCTGGAATAATAAGAATATTACCACAGTCAGTGACGAAACTAGTCCTGAATATTCGCAAAATCGAGTACATATAGAAATTTTTTTTTCAAATAATTTCAAAATTTATACGGTATATTTTTTAAACAATTCGCCAACCGCAAGATCTGCCGACCCCCTTTGCACCCCCTAGTTCCGTCCCTGACCATAGTGATCTTTTTGCTTCTATTGCCAAGAGAGGAAATTTATGGGATTATACACGTTTTGATGAATTATAAGGGTTGACCAATAATTCACTTTATTCCCCTTGTCACGAAATTTTTAAGGCTATGTTAGTTTGGTTCTTTGGATGGTTTTTTCAGATTATTTTAATAACAATTGTCTCATTTTTTTACATTTTTAATACAATTTTTTACATTCTCAATACAAAAAACACCTAAAAACACACACTGAAAAAACGAAATAAACATACCTAAATAACTTATAAATATAGATTATTTTGTAATATCCCTATTTTTATGGGACCGAGTAATACGTAACCAGATCGCCAGTCAGCTATCACACCATCAATCACAATAATATTGATGGTAATTAGTCAAACAATACACAGAGAGAGAGAGAGACGCATTTAGCAAATTAAATGGTTCCAACATTAGATTTCTTTGAACATTGACCATAGGTATAACGAGTTCGACATTGATATTGAAATTGAATTATCTTATTTTCTCCAAATTGACTTGACTGTTTTTTGGTTGATCAATAAAATTTATCAAGTGTACCAAAAAATAAATAAATAAATAAAATATATCAAGATCTAAAATAATTTGATAATGATACTGATTAGCCCTTTTCCTACAGTTTAAACGAAACAGAGAACGAATGCAGATCAAGAATCCAAATTGAGAGATTATTATTCATTCGTTGGAGTGTTATGCTAAAATATGATGTGACCAAAAATGCAAGGACCTCCGCGTGATACTACTAGAGAGGGCAGTCGCAAGTGCAAGTGTCACACCAGGCCAGGCCCTTATTCCCATCCGTAGCATTTTCCCTACATTTCATCATCCAGAATTGTTTTTTTTAAATTTTTTTTTAAAAAGGCTTCAAATCATCAAGTTTCCTCCATTGGTAGCTGGCTAAGACCGCCGGAGACCCAGAGAGTTGGCTCCGGTGAATCCATCGTCCAGCTACAATAATTTGCAAGGATCGTGCAAATTCATTTTTAACATAGTAATTTGTGCATATCCTTGCAATTATATATTAATAATTCTTTATCATTAGGAGAACCAATTTTTTTTTAATGATTATATGCATATCGAAAACAAAATGAGGAGGTCAATCTGGATTTTCAGTATTTTGGTGTTTGTGACATTGGATTTAGTAGGTGTTTCTGGGAGCAATATTTCACAAGAAGTTAGCATAACTTATGGTACTGATAAACGAGCAAAGTTTCTTGATGGTGGCTTAACTCTCAGTTTGTCCTTAGACAATTTTTCCGGTTCCGGTTTTCAGTCCAACAATGAGTATTTGTTTGGAAGATTTGATATTCGGATGAAGCTTGTCCCTGGCAATTCCGCCGGCACCGTGGCCACTTTTTATGTGAGTTACTACATGTAGTTTTTAGTTTTCCACCAAATAAAAAATCATTTTGTTCATTCATGAGTTAAAAACTTTGTTCTATAAAAATAAAATTTTCGTTAATTTGACACAATTCACATGCTATATGTGAGTGGATCAGGAGAATGCATTTAAAAAAAAAAAAATCCTTATAATGATTAAAATAAAAGAATAATTGTAGAGACAGGATGTGATATGCATGTATCGATCCGTATTAATCATGTTACAATTTATACATAATAATTTTGATCGAGTATAATTAATTTACCTTTACATTAAAGCTAGTTTATTTTCTTTCATCCTAGTTATCATCTCAAGGGCCAGCACACGATGAGGTCGATTTCGAGTTCCTAGGGAATGCGTCTGGGCAACCATACACACTCTCAACCAATGTTTACTCTCAAGGAAAAGGGAACAGAGAACAACAATTTCGACTTTGGTTTGATCCCACAATCGCCTACCATACATATACCATTGTTTGGAACCCTCAAAACATCATGTAAGTTCACAATCAATTAACATATCAAGGATATTAGCAACTCTTTTTTCCGACTTTGTGTAACATAATATCCTATAACACTCTAACGTTGGTCGCATTTATTTATTTAATAATGGATGATCAGATTCTTGGTTGACAATATACCAATAAGGATATTCGTAAACAAGGAAGCAAGGGGAGTTCCGTTCCCAAACAACCAACCAATGAAAATATACGGCACTTTATGGGACGCGGAAGACTGGGCAACCCAAGGTGGCCGTGTCAAGACCGATTGGTCCAACCAACCATTCACGATTTATTACCAGAATTTCGACCCGGTCGGTTGTGTTGTTCCGGCACAACCCGGCTCGCCGCCATGTAACCCGACATGGCAACCTCACGACCTTGATCCTAAAGGCCGGAATTTGATCAGATGGGCTCAGCAAAAATCAATGATCTACAACTACTGTGTGGATCGGGTCAGGTTTCCTCGGCATCGTCCTCGCGAATGCCGGGGCACCAGGTTCTAAAGTTCTTGCTACACTAACATCACCGGCGTGAATTAATCTTCCAGATTTGATAAAAAGACTCGACGATATAACCATATTAATATGGTTGGAGTCACAAGCTTCCTTTCATTTCTTTTTTGTAAAACGGAACTCAAAAACTCGAGATTTTTTTTAATATTTTTTTTGCATGATGTACACAAGAGTTTGTATATTATTATTATACTATATACGTATGTGTCTACAATTTTATTTTCTTCCTCTGAATTATTGGCATTCTAAGCATTCTCTTAGTCCTTGTTATGAGGCATTTTGATTTGTCCTAATGTGTTTTTTGTTAATTAGAAAAAACAAACTTAAAATATTTTATAATATTTAGGAGAACACAATTAATGTAAGAATACATTTTTTCAATTTTTTTTTTTTGTTATTTGGAAAAACATACAAGAAAATTTTAGAATAATTCAAAATATCTTATAATAAGGACATAAATGAGTAACTTTGTAGTGTTATTAAAGGAAAATCACATAGGCATTAACCTTTTTGGTCTATCTTTGGCTGCAACAGAGGCATTGAAACAGTTGGATTTATACCTCCGCCATTACCAATATTGGGCTTGGACGGTAAGATTCCACCTTCACATCACTGCTTTTAGTACGTTTACGATATTCTCTACCTGAGATTAAAAACAACACCAGATATTGATTAATAAAAGAAGCAAATCCTAAAGAAACGAAGACTTCGACCGTGTCCAAAAGATCTAAATTATACTGAAGAAACAAAAAAATAGTTGGATCACTCGTACCTTGATGGGGATGCCTAGTCATCATCTTCAATCATCGTCACCGGTAGATTTGGAATATTCAAAATTTCCTTCTTTCAATAAGGTTTAGCAGACATTACAAATGTGAGCAGTACATTAATTGGGGTTTGGAAAGAGAGGGGAGCACAGAGCGGAGAGTTTTGTTTGACAAAATTATTTTATACAATAAAAACTCTATATATTAATAATTTTGGGCTCGTTTTGGTCCCGAGTTGGAACCGAAAAATTTTATTATTTAATAAAAATTTATGAATTTATAGCATTTTTTAGAGTAGTTTTTACTATACTATATTTCAAAACTGTGTCGTTGTGACCGCCTGGATATTTTCATTGTGATGTTGACATTACAAATGTAATCTCGATCGATTAAATTACTGATATCATAGTGATTATCTATCAACCAATTAAATCACCTAATTTAGGATCGATGATGCCATAATGTCTTATTGGCCAATAAATCACTCAATTTAAACTTAAATGGCCCATGTATGACCATTCAAAATCGAGATTTTAAGCTCTCTAGAATTTTTTTTATTTTTTATTTTTTTGGTAAGTAGAGAGATTATTATTAGGTAGGTTGTGTTTGGCAATGTTATCATATCCCGAGGGGGTGATCATAATTATTTCTTTCCGTTCGTTAATACTCCAAAAAAAAACAGGATAGAAAAAGAAAAAAGGAAATAACAAAACACGCTTGGGTTTTCCCAATTAATTCAAAAGCATTAGAAACCTTTTTATAGACGCTCAATAAGAGGAGAACCCATAACACTTTCCCCACCCAGGGTCTTTTGTCCTTGAAATTTTACCACCTATGAGGGCGGCGGAAAGCGGCAGCGGCAGCGGCGGAGTGGCTGGTGAGTCCCGGTTGACGCGATGTTTAGGTTAAAGTGTGTCACAAAACAATGGTATTCTTTCATCTCCGATTCTTATTGCCACCGCCTGTATAACTCTAGGTTATTACCACCACCGTTTGTGTTTCTCCCGTCGTATTTTTCAGTGAAGGATGAAAATCCAATTGAGCTCAAGTATCAAAATCGTCAGTTTCTTACACTACCAAAAACTCTTTTCAAAGATGAAACTGGAATGGTAGGGAGCGTTGATTATACATTAGCAGCCAACAAGGGTTTTCTTTTAATCGGGTGCTACAATTACAAGCATTTCTTTTCGCGGCTCCATATGTTTAAAATCTATATCTGCAATGTCACGACCCATCAGTGGTTTCGTCTGCCTCCTCTTCCGGACATACATCTACCTCATTCCAACTGTCTACAACCCAGATTTATAACACAAGTTGGTCAATCCGGAACAGTTTTGACTAGTTATAAAGTCGTGATATTGCCGGTGTCTAGTAGTTTTAGTGATGTATTTGAGGTTCAGATGTTTTCTTCCGAGACTGGGAGATGGGAGCAAATTAGGGTTCAATCTGAACGACGGGTTAAATTCTCCATATACCGGAGGCCCGCTACTCTCATCAACACCAATCTAATGTGACTTGATCGTTATAATGCTGGATTAATCCTAACCTATGATCCTTGTACGGATCCGAACAGATTCGGTAATATTGAGCTCCCACCAAAGGATGACGACAACAATGATGCAAGAGGAAGTGGGTGTTCCATATTTTCTCATCTGTTTGCTGTGGTCGTGAAGAAGAGCACCTTTTAAGTGTATTGAATTAATTGCTGAGGAGGAGGAGGAGGAGGTAAATATTGATGCGTATCATTGGAAGAGTTTGAAAATATGGGAATTCCAGCAGGAGGACTCTCCTACTTGGCGCCTTCAGCATACAGTGAACTATAACCTCATTATAATTCCTGATTATTCTTGCCAAGGTGTTTCCTACCGCGACAGAGTTCACCGTGTATATTCTTTTGTATCGTTTCATCCATCCCGATGTTGTATATTTGGATTTAGGGTTGGGACGGGGGATTGTATCGTTCAACATACGGACCAACAGCATGAAACCACCACCGTTCTTGGACAAGCAAATATCACTCCCGGAGCAATACTACAAGGATGAATACTCTTCTTTCCGGAGGAGTTGGTTCCTTATGGCGCTTCCAACTTGGCCCATCTCCATCCCTCCTCCTCTTATGTCTATAGGAGCAGATGATATATTCTGATGATCATAATACCTTTTTAGGGATTTCATTCGGGGATTTTGAGTAATTGATGGAGGACCTTAGCTCCATGGATGATACATATCACTTGCAAGTTGCATCCCAATTGCCTATCAACGTTTTTATAAAAGTCATTTTCAGGTTCATGACTAGCCAGGAGAGGCGCATTTAGTTGATTCCATCAACAACTTTGAAAAATCCTTGCTCATCTAGAATGTCTAATTTTGACCGTACAGAGGCTGCCCGCAGGAAATGAGTCGCAAAGATTTTACCTATTTAGTTTTGCAAAGTTTTCTTTCTTTTCCCACTTAATTGATACTGCATTTTAAGGACTATGAATCTGAATACTTCTCTGTTTTTTATTTTTCTTTTTGCTATGGAGAAAAAACTTGCAATTTCTAGAATTTCTTCTCTTTTGCAAATTGATTTTTTTTTTTTTTAATCCAACACGCGTGCAGTTAGTTCTAGTAATTTAAATTAGCCATTTATTGAGATTGAGTCTGTAAACCTATTAAGCCTCTTAATTGTGTTATGAACTTTGGTTTGAGAACCAAACTGTGGTATTTTCTTAGGTTTACCGATACACCTCAGGGGTGTTCAACCGGCCGGTTAACTGGTTTACCGATTAATCGATTTCGGTTAATTCTGATTTTGTCAATTTTAGATAAAACCGATTAACCGACTGATTAAATAATCGGTTTTACGGTTTCTGTTTATCGGTTTTTCGGTTTAATTACCGATTTTTACCGGTTTAATCAAAACTATTTGTCATATTTTTTGGAGAAAATATAATTGATGTTTTCTCAACTTTTTTAACTTTGTTTTCTCTAATTTATGTAATTCATACTATATGTTTAGACCCATTAAATACTACAAATATTTTTTAAACTCTTAATCTACAATAAAAGTATAAAACAATCAAACCTTTTCCTTTTATAGTAGTTCATCCAACCAAAAATCATGTTATTATTACAACAAAAAATTTTAGGGAAATAATTTGACAAAATGAAAACGATTAATGATATAGAAATATGATATATATATATATATATAATTTTTTAATTATAATTACTATAGTCGGTTATTCAGTTTAACCGACAAAGGTGCAAGCAAAATCAAATATCGAATAGATTAACCGGCGAAAAACTGTTTAACCGCGGCTCGATTTTATGTCGATTTTCGATTCGGTTAATCGCTGTCGGTTTTTTGAGCACCCCTATACACCACCAAACTGAGTGGAACTTATAAACTATCCCAAAATCATACTTTTTTAAAAAAATTAAAAATTAAAAAAAAAATCTAATGGACCCCACTTAAATATGGGTAAATACCATGAGCATACTTTTTTTTTGTCAAAAGCAATAATCATATGAAAATTAAAAGAAAGATAAATTAACCACACGGTTGAGCAGTACAATCCGGAAATTGAGATACACAATCTTACGATTGAGCTATTACAATCTGCCTTATATGACTTTTCAACCCACCGAGGAAAAACATATTTACCATCCGTGTACAAATATTGAAAAGGCTACTTAGAGAATGGAATGGCTTGTTTTAAGCAATGGATCTATGACTATTACATTTGTTTATATAGAGAACCCTAACAACTAGATAATACTACATGGGGTAATATCAAATACAAGATAACCCTAACCACAACTCTAGATAATTAACTACATAATATCACAACTCTAGATAATTATCATATTGACACGGCCCCTCAAACTGATGACGGAAAAGGTAGGAGTCTCAGTTTGTCCAGGAATCGGATGAACCACGATGCAACAGCAGCAGCAGCAAGCGAACATGAAATTACCAGCAACAGTCGGCGCAAGAAAGAGGTTGTGAGGTGCGGCACGACCGGAGAAGGCTAATGGCGGCACAAGAATGCAGCACTAACCAGAAAATGACTAACGGCGGGGCAAGAATGAGATACGACATGACCGAAAGATGACGGATGGCGGCGCAAGAATGAGATGCGACACGACCAGAGAAAGACTGACAGCGGTGCAAGAATGCAGCACTGACCGAAAGATAACTAAAGGCGGCGCAAGAATACAGCACGGCCGGAGGATGAGTAGTTGTAGGGGAGAGGCGGCAATGTTGTATGCCTGAATGAATGCAGCAACTTCTGATAAAAAGACAGGTGCCGACAGGAGTGGTGTTTTGTGTGTTTGTGTTTTATTAAGTGCTAACAAATGAAAAGGACTCAATTGACAAATGCCGGAGCCGAAAACAGAGATCAGGGACTAATTTGCACACAAAAAAAATAGTGAGATTGATTTGGAAATTTCTGAAAGCAAGAGGGCTGAAACCACAAGACTTGAAAATTGGTCAATTTTCCCACAAGTTGTAGAACGTCCGCGGCACAGTGGTTTTTGTTGGATGATGGATGATGGTGATGATTATGGAGGATTACTGCGTGGGTAGGTTAGGCTTAGAAATTTTGCTTATTTATTATTTTTTTTTGTAAGACCCAAATGAAGGTGACGATGAAAAAGGCACACGGCCAACTAAGAAGAAGAAGACTTCGGTGGGAAAAGGACAAAGAAGGGTTTGTGTGTCGGCTGGAAAAGTGAGGTGCCAGCAGCAGGAGAAAGGGTCGATGACCTACAGAAGAAGGGTGGCGGACAAAGAAGAAGAAAAAGAAAAAAAAAAAAGGTTTTGTAACCTAATTCGATACCAACTTAGACAATGAAATGGCTTGTATTAAGCAATTGATCAAAGACTATTACATATATTTACATAGAGAACCCTAACAACTAGATAATACCACATAGGGTAATATCAAATACAAGATAAACTTAACCACAACTCTAAATAATTAAGTACATAATATCACAACTCTAGATAATTACCATATTAGATAATTATCATATTGACAAGGCTTAACTGGCCAGATTGAAACAATATTTCTGACAGCTAAAGCATCTAAAATCCAATTAGGTCTATCATAATAAAACGATACAAAGAACAACCAATGATATAATGAAATTCCAGCATGGATATAATTAAACTAAAACTAAATATATGGGCAAAGCAACCAAAACAAACCTAGAAGTTCTAGATCTAGAGATTTTACTTCATCCTTGCAACCTTAAACTCATGTTGCTCTCTATATCTTCAATCCTTATCCGATAGTCCATGGATTCATGCCTTCCCCCATCAGATCTGTTGAGAGAACATCTAAAAAAAAAGAGGGGGGGGGGGAGGGGGAGGAAGAGGATCTGAGATCCCCAACCGGAGAAAATGGACGGTGAGCAGAAAAAATCCATTAAGGGTGAACAAAACTTCCAAAAAAATGGAAGTGCTAAGGCTCCCAGACGGGAGAGCTAACTACAGCGCACAAAAATAGCGAAAAAAAAATGAAATTTGAGCTCTCCCATCCCCATTAATGGCGGATCCATCCCCATTAATGGCGGATGGGGGAGAAAAAGGGAAAAAAATCATTTTTGCAGTCTAGAGAGAAAGGTGAGCGTGGGGTAGAGAGAGAGAGTTTTAACAATGAGATACTCGCAAGCATACTCTATCTATTCAAAAATAATTATCAATGTCTTTTATGTATTACTTCTGTCTCGAAAAAAAAAAGTATACATTGAGTGTTGAAATTTGTACTAGTTCCATTACAAATTTAGGAAGTCAACGTGAACTGGAGTAGTTTTTATTTTTTATTTTTTATTTTTTTTTTATTTTTTTTTTGAGACAAAGGAACTATACCCTACATACTAAAAGAGAGAGAATTCGAGGCAAATGGCATGAAATTGGCTAACTTATTTTAAAAATTAGGAAATAAAACTCAATTAGGTGTTGTAATTTTTTAATGTAATTATTTAATTTCACTTTTTTTATAATTTAAAAATTTTATATTTACCTTATTAGTTACAAGCGGTTACAAAATAAGTCATAGAAAATCTGAATAACCAAAAATCTTAACACCTCTAGGCTGGTCGTGTCAGTAAAGGCATTGCCCCTAAATATTTCAGTTATTCAGTTTGAGAGTTTTGAGAATAGATTTCAGTAAAAAATATAGTCTCTTCATTTGTTACATTTGTGGAGTTTGCATCCATTTTGGGTTATACTCTCTGGTAGGGTGTCAAGCCAACAAACAATTTAACCTATTTCCAAACTAATGTAGTACAGGAAAGTAAGGTTGTCTCCTCAGGGAATGGTGAATTTCTCTCTTTTAAATCAAGTAACCAAAAGGGGGGGTTTTGAGTTGTTGAAATAAATTGCAAACAATACAAATTGCAAACAATAGCTAAAATGATTCAAACAATTAATGAGAAAATATCTAGCTAAAGGGTTTGTATATCCACCTTGATTTAAACAGTTGATCATAGATGCAATGATATTATCATTAACTTATGAGTAGATTAGTTTTCATTGTTGGAACCTCCAAACAATTCAATCTTTCATTTAGTTCAATGATTAAGAAACCTTCATTAATCATATACTAGTCGAAAACTAATCTTGGAACCTCCAAAGATTTAGAAAACTACTACATTAAACACATAGACCCAATACCAATTCCTATAAAACAAACCTTGTTTTATATTAAACCGGATTACTTGTTCTTATAACATAAATAATTACTTACCAAGTAATTAAATTATATTATACCCTATTTAAACAACAAACCTTGTTGTTTTATTGGTTTTAGATTATTAAGAAGCACCGAATGCTACCAGCTATTCATGAATCCACAATAATCATATCAATCATGCCATAGAACAAGCAATTACTCACAAGAAATTCAGAGAAAAACAACATTTAAATCTCACAATTATTCAAACCAAGACTTCAATACCCTTCAACCAGATGAATGAATTTAGCTACTCATCATGAAAACTGAATCACAAGAAAAGTTCATTGAATAATATTACCGATTGATGTCTATGAACTCGGAAGACTCCAAAAATGAAGAAAGTGCGTTTGAAAGCTCCTTAAAAGTGGAAAACTACGTCTATTTTTATTCTACTACCTACCACTCTTTCAAAATGAAAAGAAAAGTCTATTTATATTCAGAATATAGGTCAGCCGCAGCACCCTTCTCAGAAATCCGCAGCAGCAAATTAACTTTTCCGAGATTTGCATATTGGTCCCTCAAATTTGGCAAAATTACATTTTGACCCCAAAACTTTTTCAATTTTTCATTTTAGTCCCTGTTTCGGTTTGGCCAAACGGGAATGCAGCTTCAATGCTGGAATTTCTTCTCTATAGCTCAATTTTGGACTGAGATTCGTGTGCCCACACGAGAATGTGATGTCATTGCTCCTTCTTGTGCTTCCTTGTCAAAATGCTCCAAAAATGTGTGTTTATGAAACATTTTGCTCCATCTCATCTCTAAGGACTCCTAGGAACCAAAAACATCAAAATACATAATATAAGTGCACAATCTAATCCAAAATACTATACAAATACCTATAAATAATATGAAACTTCAAGACCTATCAAACTTAGATTTTTGCTTGTCCTCAAGCAAACACAACTCAAAGTAAACATGATAATACCCTTCCAACTGACTCTAACATGCAAAAACAACAAAGAGAATTGTCAAAACTTGTCTCAGATTCTAGTCTCATCAGAGACAAATGATGTACACCACAGTTCAGTACCCTTTAATCAAGTCAGAAACTCACTTCCGTGAGTGTGTGAAACAGACCACAAAACAAAGTGTTGCTTAACCTAAGATTAGATTCAATTACTTTCAAGTGGATATTCTTGTGATCAGTACCTATTTCCTTCTTGCCTTCAACTAGGGTATTCTTACTGAGGTTCCGATCTAAGGGCTTCCTCTCATTTTCTGCAAGCATCATTGGCTGCATCATTCACCCTCGTACCTTTTCATCCATTTGTCCAAATTGGCTTTTCTTCTGGATCTTTCCCACTCAGGCCTATACCAAGCACATATTTCAGCAACTATGGTAATCTAAGCATTTTCTATTTAAACTCACCAGGCCTGAAGACACTCCTCTCTTTGGTGCCATACCTCACCTCTCAAGGGATTAAATGCCACATTGGACACTCTGCCTATACTCCCTCATTAGATAAAGCTTTTAACCTCATATTCAACCGCCAACTTTCCCCTTTTTTCCAAGGTATTTAGGCTAATACAAACCACTATGGGCTCGATTCGAGGCTGCCATAATATGTAGGGTTGCCTTAGTCTAATTCCCAGATTCACAGTCCCCCCAGGTTTCAGACAAGTGGACTCCAGTATAAGATCACAACAATGCATTAATGCATTCAAGATTTTAAAAGTTTAAGCCCAAAGCAAACACATTGTCAAGTGGAATGTTGTGCATGAAGATGTGGTCATGAGTTTCTAACATGCTTAAGAGTGATCCTGAACAGGTATCTTTATAATCATATGTAACCCTCAAAATTGAATTCATCATCGACTATTGACAATTCTCTTTTTTTTTTTTTTAGACAAACACAACACAAAATCTATAAAATAAAAGGCCATTATTTAGGCACAAGGAAAGAAAAGGCACATTATTTATAAAATAAAAGAAATCATAGACTGGAAAAGAAACAAGAAAATAAAGTAAATAAAAAAAAAACTAAAAATGGAATATAACTTCCCTAAATCAATTTCTATGGAAAAGGGAATGTGGGTTGAGTGGAAGTATTAGAATTGGAACCCGGCGGCACCAGATGTAGATTTCCATGGATCAACTCTGCATAACTAAGCTTAAGTTGGCGGTTTTCCTCTTCTAACTTGTCCACACGTGCACCAATGGTCACAAGTTGTTCTTGGAGCTGGTGAATGAGGACCATGGCATCTTTGGTATTAGGTGTATCATTGGAATTCTCCTGAAGATCGCCTGTAGAGGACGCAACAGCTTTTTCCAAAGGTAGTGTTACCCAAGGAATATTAAACACATATTGTCCTTTGTAAAAATGCACCAATTTCATACGTTGCAAGCAAACCAAATCTAAAGGTTCCATGGAACACTCTTCATGCAAATTATGAATTTTCAATTTACGAAATAATTGAACAATTTCATCATATATACCCAATGTGCACATTGATTCTTTCTGGAAGAATTTACCTGGAAAGAATTTGTGTGTCTTACAATCATCATACCTGTCTTGGTGAGCTTTGACAGAGAATTTTAATGCACCTCCCATTGCAGCAGTAGAAGGTGGAAGCACACCTCGACCACCCTTGTGGCAGGATTGAAAGCGAGGGCCAAGTTCTGACTTTGGCAAAAGCTTTGGTGCGGTCTTCAATTGAGGCTTTGAAGGACGAGAAGACTTATTTGCCTTGGCCACTTGAGCTTTCTTTTGAATTTTTGCAGCGGCTGCTCGGACAGGATTCTTTCGAACTGGTACAGCTTGAGATTGTCTCCCCATGATGTGTGGCACTTCTCAAACTGTGATTTAGATGACAACAAAAGAGACCGCCGTCGGATGCAAAAATTGTTATCAACAAAGACAGGAAATTCTTCACTTGGAGATTGCTGTCACTGGTGGTAGGATAGCAATTGAAGTTAGAGACGTGAAAGCCGCCTGTTCTTGAGGGAGAAAGAAATAAGAAAAAGAAAAAAAAAATTACGTAATGATCATTGTTGCCAAGAGAACAAGAGAAAGCCTATTAGGTTACGTACTTTTGATATTTATTAATGTGCATGAACTCTCTTTTTTTTTTCTTTTTTTTTTAAAAAAAAAATAAAAAAAAAAAACGTGCGCAACTACAAAAAACTGGAATTTCCAGAGAAGTAGAGTTCAAAGGGTGTGTGAACTCTTTGTGTTTTTTTTTAAATAATAATAATTAAAAAAATATTAAAAAAATAATAAATAAATAAAATAAATATAAAATTGGAATGGGCAAACGGGAACATGGATTCTTTGCTGGAATTCTTGTTGCTGCCCAAAAAAAATTGGATCCCATTTTTGCGTGGGCACACGGGAAATATGTTGCAGCATTTTTCACGCGTAGACTAACTCCATTAACCGTTTGGGCATTTGGGAATATGCTCTCTTTGCTGCCCAAAATCCACAATTTTTCCAATTTCTTCGTTTGGGCAAACGAGAACAAACCATCATGGTTGAATCTTGCACCAAATCTCTAATTTTCTCCTGCCAACTTAAAACAACTCACAAACTATTAGCAAAAATAAAGAAGAAAAACAAAATGAAAAAAAAATAAAAATAAAATAAAATAAAAAGCATTGGGTTGCCTCCCAACAAGCGCCACTCTTTAACGTCTTCGGCTAGACATGGTGCTTGCTCTAGTTACTCATAAATGGGAGGAAGTAAGTTAACTTCTTCCACATTAACAACTTCAGAATTAGAAAGAAAAGGTTTCAGCCTATGACCATTCACTTTTAAAACTCTATTAGACTCTAAACCTTTAATTTCAATAACACCATGAGGAGAAACTCTTACCACCATATATGGTCCATTCCACCTAGACTTTAACTTACCTGGCATCATCTTTAGCTTAGAATCAAAGAGGAGAACCTTTTGGCCAACTACAAACTCTTTCTTTCGCAAGAACTGGTCATGAATGAGTTTTGATCTCTCTTTGTACATTCGGGCATTATCATATTCCTCCAAACGAATTTCCTCCAATTCTTGAAGTTGTAACTTCCTTTCTACACCAGCGCCATCAGCATTCATGTTGCATTGCTTAACTGCCCAAAAAGCACGATGTTCAATTTCAACTGGTAAATGACACATCTTACCAAAAACTAACCTGCAAGGTGACATTCCAATAGGAGTTTTATATGCAGTGCGATAGGCCCACAAAGCATCATCTAAACGCAAACTCCAATCTTTACGGCTAGGATTTACAGTCTTTTCCAAGATGTTCTTTATCTCCCGATTTGAAACCTCGGCTTGGCCATTGGTTTGGGGTGATAAGTCGTGGATATCCGATGGTGAACCCCATACTTACGCATCAATGCTTCAATCGTGCGATTGCAAAAATGGGTACCTTGGTCACTGATAATTGCTCGTGGAACACCGAACCTACTAAAGATGTTAGACTTAAGAAATCCTGAAACAACCTTAGAATCATTAGTTCGGGTCGCCTTTGCTTCTACCCACTTCGAGACATAATCAACAGCAAGCAATATGTAAAAATTTTCACATGAACTAGGAAAAGGTCCCATAAAGTCCATACCCCATACATCAAATATTCACAAAACAACATAGGGGTTTGTGGCATTTCATTCCTAAAAGATATGTTACCTGTCATTTGACACTTTTCACAACCTTTACAAAACTCATAGGCATCTTTGAACAATGTTTCCCAATAAAATCCACTATCTAAAACTTTCCTAGTGTTCTTTTGGACCAAAATGGCCACCACATGCATAAACATGACAGTAAGTAAGAATAGAATGAATTTCTTTATCGGAACACATCTACGAATGATTTGATCGAGCCTATTTTCCACGAGATAAGGGTCATCCCATATATAATATTTAAAATTTGATTTCAGCTTATTTTTCTGAAAAGTTCTCATGCCAGATGGAAATTTTCCAGCAGTTAAGAAATTTACCATGTCAGCAAACCAAGGTTCCTTACCTTGCATTGCCCAAAGTTGCTCATCCGGAAAAGATTCAGAAATGGGTAATGGATCTTCTTCGCAAATCAATCTGCTCAAATGGTCAGCAACCGAATTGTCAACTCCTTTGCGATCTTTAATCTCCCAATCAAACTCTTGTAGGAGGAGGACCCATCTTATGAGCCGTGGTTTTGATTCTTTCTTCCCTAAGAGATACTTCAAAGCTGCATGATCAGAATAAATAACAATTTTAGAGCCCAATAAATAAGACCTAAACTTTTCAAATGCAAAAACAATAGCTAGAAGTTCTTTTTCAGTTGTAGTGTAGTTGCATTGAGCGGGATTCAATGTCTTTGATGCATAATAGATGACATGGCTATTTTTCCCCCAACTCTCTGCCCCAATACTGCTCCTATGGCATATTGACTTGCATCACACATAATCTCAAAAGGCAACTCCCAATTTGGGGGTTGTATGATTGGTGATGAGGTAAGCAGCTTCTTCAATGTCTCAAATGCTTCCTTGCATTCCCTACCAAATTCAAATGTAACATCATTTTGCAACAAGCGAGACATTGGTTGAGCAATCTTGGAAAAATCTTTGATGAATCTTCGATAGAAACCTGCATGCCCAAGAAAACTACGAACCTCTCTCACATTAGTAGGAAATGGTAAACTAGCAATCAAATCAACCTTAGCCTTATCTACCTCAATTCCTCTTTTAGAAACAACATGTCCCAAAACTATCCCTTCTCTAACCATAAAATGACATTTTTCATAATTAAGAACAAGGTTAGTTTCAATACAACGGTTCAAAACTTTTGACAAGTTACTTAGACAATGATCAAAAGAATCACCATACACAGTGAAATCATCCATGAAAATCTCAATGCAATTCTCAATCAAGTCGAAAAATACTCATCATACATCTTTGAAAAGTACCGGTGCGTTGCATAAACCGAAAGGCATGCGACGATATGCAAAAGTGCCAAAGGGACAAGTAAAAGTGGTTTTATCTTGATCCTCGGGGCTACAACAATCTGATGATAACCGAATATCCATCTAAAAGCGAAAAATACCTTACCCGCCAATCTCTCTAGCATCCGATCAATGAAAGGAAGTGGAAAATGATCTTTCCTAGTGGCGGCATTCAACTTTCGAAAATCAATACACATCCGCCATCCAGTTTGCAATCTCATGGGCACTAACTCATTATTATCATTTTTTTACCAAAGTAAAACCAGCTTTCTTGGGAACTACATGCACAGGACTTACCCATTTACTATCAGAAATAGGATAAATGATTCCTAAATCCCATAGTTTCAAAATCTCTTTTAGCACCACTTCTTTCATTGCAGGATTTAGCTTACATTGGGGATCACGAACAGGCTTGGACTCAGGCTCAAGCAATATACGATGCATGCAGACAGAAGGACTAATACCTTTTATATCAGCTAGTGTCCACCCAATTGCTGTCTTGTTTTCCTTCAAAAGCTGAATCAAACCTTCCTCTTGCTCCTCAGTTAAATCATTGGCAATGATCACAGGCAATGTATCATCATCTCCCAAATAGACATATTTGAGATGTACAGGCAAGGGCTTCAACTCAAGTTTAGGAGCCTGTTCAACAGAAGGAAAGATTCTCTCATAAGTAGTAGGCAATTTTTCAAATTCATTTGCTAACCTGAAAGGAGCTGGAGGCGCGAAATGTAACGCCATAGTTGCTTCTTTAAGCTCAGCATTGCCTTCCACTTGTTCAGCATGTTCTGTTAAATTATTTCTAAGCACCACACCCAACTTATCCTGCATCAAATCTCTTTCCACATTTTCTTGCAAACAATCATCAATTATGCTAACATCAAAAACAGATTCATGATCATCTGGGTATTTCATTGCATTATAAACATTAAACACTACAGCATGATCATTAAAACGAAAAGTTACAATGCCAGATTCCATATCAATGTTAGCTTTAGCTGTTTTCAGAAATGATCTTCCAAGCAAAATAACAGCTTCATCAAGTGATATATCATTTCCCATGTCAATAATGTAAAAATCAGCAGGGAAAACTAATTCATTAGCTCTAATTAGAACATCTTCAATCATGCCTTCCGGATGTGTAGTAGACCTATCAGCTAATTGAATTACTACATTAGTTGACTTCATGGGTCCAAGATTTAAATAACTAAAGAGTGACAATGGCATGACATTAATTGAAGACCCTAAATCAAGCATTGCCTTTTCAATTCTTTTTGTACCAATTATGCAAGGTATAGCAAAAACACCCGGATCCTTACATTTTTGTGGCAACTTGACATTATTTGGCAACTTGAAATCACCTTGTATTGCTGCTGACATTATTTGGCTAGCCACAATTTTTCCTTCACTCTCTTGCCTTTTCTTTTTCATGCACCGGTCCTTTAAAAACTTGGCATACTTTGGCATTTGATCAATTGCTTCTAAGAGAGGAATGTTGATTTCAACCTTGCGAAAGGTCTCATATATTTCTTTTTCTTCCTCCTCTTTCTTTGATTTAGCCAACCTGCCAGGAAAAGGTGGAGAAATTAAAACTTTTTGCCCAGGTTTGGCTAACTCATTATTTACCTCTTTTTCTGGTGTCACTAAAGGATCAGAAATCTCTTCATCTTGAGTTTTTGGTGACTCTTGAATTGGAGGTAAATTACTCTGCAACTCCTTCCCACTACGAAGTGTCATGGCACTAGCATTTTCTTTTGGATTTATCTCTACTTGCGCAGGAAGCTTTCCTTTCCCAGAATCCAGCCTATTCACTGTAGTTGATAACTGTGACATTTGCTTCTCTAAATTCTGGATGCTAGCAC